CATATTTTCTAATTGAAAATCTATAAACAAATACATTTTAGAAGTAAAAGTCATAGGTATCAAGACTTAATTAGAAAATTGCTGATTTTCCTACTTATTCAGACTGATGTTTCTCCTTCGATCATTTTATAATGCGTAGTGCATGAAGTGTTTCCTAACATCAAAACACCTCAAATAACTTCTAATTTCAAATCATGTAAATAAAGATTGATATTTAAGGCTAGATAAGTAGAACCTCGATTTTTTTACTATATAAATTTTACTTAATGGTAGAAATATGGATAGAGATGAACAATACTTTTAAAGGGAAAAAAAACTTTTAACTTAAAGTATTCATATGAAGTTGAAAATGGTAAACATACACATATTCAAAAAATATCATAAACTGCATATGTGAATTTTTATGTCTGATATACAAAAGTATGTGAGAACTGCATGACATATCATCTGATCATAAATTCTAGGATAAAGAGGAGTAACAAACATTTTTTTTATCAGAAGGCTCTGCTGAAAACAACATGGATGATATAAGCAGCCGACACTATCAAACTGCAAACCATCCTATAGGTATATGTAAATGAATAGAGGAAATTCGGAAGAACTTTTTCATATACAGATAGAATTAATTTTTGTCTCTTTGTGTTTAAAAAAGACACATAGACACATAGTTCTCACAAATCACTTGGTATTGATAAGTAAAAATTATTTTTTTTTATACATGTAAATCTTTACATGCATAATATCTAATTACAAGTGATGGATTGGAATATGGTACACCTGCATTTTCCCTCTACAATTCGTCGCCCGCGTGAAGCAGTGGTTAGATCGTCTGCTCTTGAATCGCGAAGTAAGGGGTTGATCCTTACGTCGCGGGTTCGAGTCCCACTGAGGGAAGTGGAGACCGGTCCTTTGAATGAGACCGTATAAACCGAGGTCCCATGTCGCAGTAGGTGCTGGCACGAAAAAGATCCCTCCCTGCTCAATGGCCCTGAGTCCCGAGGGCAAAATTTGCAGCAAGTGGTGGCGTCTCCATATTAGTGAAAAATTCTCGAGAGAGACGTTAAACAATATACAATCAATCATTTAATCCCTCTAGAATTCAAAACATGCTATAACAGCATTTTACAAACATGCCTTTAAATATTTAGCCATTTTGTGCTACAGGTAATCGAAAAAATAAATGAAATTCAACTAAAAAGTGTTCTCATTTACTTAATCAACATATACAGGTTAATCTTGACTGACACAAGAAAGTCCCATGTTTACAAAATCGAGATCAAGGTGACAATTGAAAGTGAAGTAGCACTTGACAGAATGAGATATGTACTGCACACCTACTTTCACTTTTCAAGTAAATAAACGTTTGTTTTTCAACTTTTAAAACTTCATGAATCGTAAAATATAAAGGTTTTACCTTTTTTCATGTTGATAATTTCTCTCGATTCCCAACTCTCGCATGTTGATCTCTTCTAGTTCTCGCGAGAAATGCTGTTCGGACATTTACGGATTTTGTTCATATTTCATTGCGTTTATCTCCGAATTGTTCCGATTTATGCTAACAAGGTTAGGAAGTGCGTTGGTGCGTTTCAAAATCCAATAAACAATGAAATCAGTGACGACAGCTCAGTAACCGCGGACAGAAGCAATACGACAAATACGTCTTTTCTCAGTAACATCCTTAACATAGCAAACAAAGTTCTGTGTTAGAAAAATTAAATGAACTGGACAAAAATAAGTTGGAGTTGGACAAAATTGACAGTAATATTTCAAAAATAGACGGCAGGGTGATATCTCTTGAAAAAGTTTCTTGTGAATAGGCGATTCTCTTAACTTCATTATGTCTCAGCAGATCGAAGAGCACAACAAAGTAAGAAAAACTGTAGATATTGAAAAATGTGGCATAGAAATGTAAATACATGAGTGAATAATTGAATGCATGAGCCAGAATCTAGATAACTTAAGGCGGGACCGTGACGAGTTTGGTGATCAAGTTAGGCGAAAATGTTGAAAATGGTAGATACGTTGATGAAAATAGGAAAAATAGATGATGTAAACTGTGCTCTTTGATTGTTGTCGAAGACGAATTTCATTTTTACTACAATGTCGTTTTTATCATGATCTTAAATTGAAATATTTGAAAAAGTATTATTGTAAGAAATCCAGTGTTTATGAATTAATTGAAGTTCTAAGTTTACAAAATATTAAGAACTTTGTAATCTTGGAAAATATTTTGTCGAACTTCAATTAGAAGAATGAATCACTTGTATTTTTTAAGCGTTTCAAATTACAGATGCCTGTTAAAGCATGTCCTACATACATGTAGTTTACTTGCTATTTTTTGAGTATGCTCATTCTCATATTATTATTCATTACTGTAAAAATGTTAAGTTATTGTTATATGTAATGTGATGTGTCGTATGACACAAAGAAATAAAGAACTTGAACTCAACTGGTAATTGAATGGGATTCTAATTATTGAGTGAAAATGCATTAATTCTTTGAATTCCTTCGCTACTCTTGGGTTTCTAGCAGATAAACTAAGTGCAATATGATGATAATTTAATTTTTTTAATCATAAAATGAAAATAATCGAATTCTTTGAAAATGTCTTTTCTATATTTTAGAAGACAAAGTAAATGCATCATTATAATGAAAAAAACCCGCCCCCTTTCAAAAAATTAAAAATTCTGGATTCTATATCACGATTTTTAGCTCACCTCAACGAAGCCCTTGGCGTCGGCGTAGGTGTCCGCGTCCCGGGTTAAAGTTAAGTTTTTTGGAGCAGTTTTCTGTTTAAGTACTTCTATGTCCTACATTGATTAGAAATTCATGGAAAATGTTTCTTGTGAGTTTCATTGTACCAGTGAAAGTTTCAGATGCTGCAATTTCGGCAAAGGAATGACCAGGTTAATGTTTTTGGAGAAGGTTGAGATTTTTGGTGCAGTTTTTTGTGTAGGTCTCATTTCTGAGTAACATTTAGTCCTATGTTGACCAAACTTGCATAGATGGTACATTTAAAAATGCACACTACCAGGCTTGCTTCGGATGCTGAATCTGACCTACATTTTCCGCATGAGTGAATAGGTTTATGTTCTCGGTGCAGGTCTCATTTCATAAGTAACTATGAGCAATATAGCGACCACACTTGCATGGATGATACATCTAACGATGCACACTACCAGGCTTGCTTCGGATGCTGAATCTGACCTGCATTTTCCGGATGAGTGAACAGGTTAATGTTTTTGGTACAGATCTCATTTCCAAGTAACTATGAGCCCTATAATGACCAAACATGCATGAATGATACATTTAAGGATGCATACTACCAGGCTTGCTTCGGATGCTGAATCTGACCCACATATACATTTTCCGGTTAAGTGAACAGGTTTAATTTTTTGGTGCAGGTTTCATTTCCAAGGTACAATGAACCCTATAATGACTAAACGTGCATGGATGATACATCTTAGGATGCATACTACCAGACTTGCTTCGGATGCTGAATTTGACCCACATTTTCTGGACGAGTGAAAAGGTTAAAGTTTTTGGTGCAGGATTCATTTCCAAGTTTCTTTGAGCCCTATAAAGACTTAACTTGCATGGATGGTACATCTAAGGGTGCATTCTACTAGGCTGGGTTCGGATGCTGAATCTGGCCTATATTTTCTGGATTAGTGAAAAGGATAGATTTTATGGAAGTTTCATTTCCAAGTAACTTTGAGCTCTATGTTGATCAAACTTGCATGGATGATACATCTTAGGATGCACAATAATGGACTTGCTTCAGATGCTGAATTCGACATATATTATACAGATAATGGACCTCGTAAAAGTTATGAATGCAGGTCTATTACCAAGAAAATATAAGGCTTATAAAAACCAAACTTGCACAAATGATGCATCAAGGGATGAAAACTCTCAAACTTGCTTCAGATGCTGGATTTTAATTACATTTTCATGATGAAGAACTAGTTTGTAGTTTTTATAAAGGTCTTTTCCAAAGTATCAAATCAAAATTGCATAGATTTTACATTTTTGGATGTACACTTTTTGTTGGTTAATTGTGTGACTTTGCCTTACTTAAAGACAACATTCTTTGAGGTGAGCTCTGTAATCTCTGATTACCTATGTTTGTTGAAATTCTAAAACTATTTTTTTATTGCTCTGTATACCGCCAACCATCTACCCCCTCTTGCTGGGAAAAGGATTTTGCAAGGGAGATAAATATCGCCTCCTGCTATGACGACTGTGGAATTATTATTACAGGTGACTTTAATGTTGACTTACTCAAATACTCCCCGCTATAATGGACTTTGCTTGAAAAACTTTGGCGCCGCGAAACCTTTGACAAAACTTTGACACATTGATTTACTATAGTTAACTATAGTTAACTGTAGTAAACTAAACTATAGTTTGCTATAGTTTTTTTGTTAGATTGGCTATGTGGAACATTAAAAATATTTTAAAAAATGACATATGATTATGAAGAATGTCTTCCTTAGAAAGGAACGTATGAATATAAGTAGGATTACCACTTGTAAAATTAAATCCAAGTTCTTCTAAAAGACAATTTATATAATGAGCCTTTCAAATGAAGACAATGTTGTTACCTGCTTTTCGGCAGGGACCAGTACGTACTGATCATGTAATCTATCTAATTCTCCTTTCACTCCTGGATTATTGAACACAGAAGGATAGATGTTTTCATAATGCCCCTTATTCTTTTAAGGTAGAGACCGATAGCAATCACGTGATAGAAAGAATTCGCATATTTGCACGTGCTTTTTTTCCGGATTCCGGAACGCCGTCAAATAAAAGTCTCCATTTACACATTATTGTCTATGCTACAAGATGGCCGACGAAGCAATCGAAAAATATCCTCTATTTCAAAGACAAATTTGCCCTACATATTAAATCTTTACAGTTCTCGAAATTGAAGCATCTTCATGAGAATCAAAATAGAAGTGAGACTGAAACCGACCAAGAACATAATTTTGATGAAACTACTCCTTGTCCAGTGCCCACTGCAGTACCACGTGGTATCGATCTGTGCTTGATGTTTTCTGTTTAGACATTTTAAAGACCATGACCCTACAGATGTTAATTGGTATGACGGAAGAAGAAAAATTTTTGCAGAACAGATTTTTTGTATGCTGTGTCCGTGTCAGGTACATAAGGTGAATATTTACGACTTAGTATATCGATCATGACTAGGCCTATGGTGCTTGTTTGTTTACGCACAGGTCTGGTACAACCAGTATATTTAGCTTCAATTACCAATAACCTTCATAGATTTTTTTACCTTCCTGAAGTAGTTTTATTTAGCTAAAAATTAAACTTATTTCATGACCAGACTGTAACTTCTACATGTAGAATAGAAGAATAAAACCAGACATCTCAGAACATGATAAAGGCCGGATTGGTAAAAAATGTAAAGTAATCATACTTATCTGTGCCTAACACACGAGGTGGTGTTTAGTTACTCAGATCAAAAAATGGAAAAACATATTTTGCTTAAATTGTTCAAATGCAGAAATGTGTAAACTTTCTCTGCTTTGGATGACAGGTGCTTTTTAATTATTATAACCCCTTTTATAAATGATAGTGGACATTTACTTGCGAAACTTTTGTCTTTTTGAAATAAAATGCAAATTGTAAAAAGTTGCATTGAAAAAAAAGAAACAGCTTTAGGATCAAGTGACAAAAAATAAGGTCAGTCTTGTAGCAGGAAACAAGACTTTTTTTTTTAGCCTTATGTAATAATTATGTACATGTAATAAATTTATGTATGTATTTTTTTAATGCTCAAAAGGGCCCTGATTATAAATAGATATCATATTCATAGATTATAAAAGAAATATTTAATACTACAGGTGAAGCAAGCTATGGACTAGACAGTGTATTCAGCTTTCTCTGCTGAAATAATGTGACCAAATCAAGTGTCACCTGGAAAGAGGAATGTCAATGGTGCTTTTTACATCACCTCCAAAATAGCCATTGGTTTGTATTTTTTCCTTTCAATTTACACTTGCACAGGTATAAGGGAAAATCTAGAATTTTTTTCAAGGGGGTGGTAAAAAGGAGGTGTTTTATAATACATGTATTAAAAATTTGAATTTATGATTTTTAGTCCTTGTATTTTTAATGTAAACACCATAATGTACATACAGTATTATTGTATACATATAGAAGCATTTTCTTAAGTCAGTAATTTCTCAAAGATCATATTAATATTTCAGGAAAGTTCAAGCCAGATCTGCTACAGCAAATTGAACATAAAGTGGCATACTTTTGTGTCAGGAAATGAGGAACATGTATGGCTGGACTGAGAATCTAACTGGAGATCCCTGCATCACTACTTACATGTAGGTGCTCTATTGACTTAAATACATGTATGGTTAAATGCTAAACATATAAAAAGGCATGTTGTAAATTGAATTCAAAACTGAATTACCAAAAAAATTGTAAAATGTAAAGATGTTTTCTAACTTGAATGAAATTGTTTGAACTAAAGCATCAAAGAATTGGTAATATGATAATATGAAGAAGTCAGTATTGTTAAAAAACTTGTAAGTGACATGGTTTTTTAACAATATTGACCTCTTCACATTATCATAGCTAAATTTGCAAAATAAATCAAAATTGTTAATAAGGCCACACCAATTTAATTTCTTCTTCGTCGGACATTTGATGAAAAAAGTACAAACGGGCTAGCGGTCAAATAATAATATTATTACTTTATTGTAGGCAAAATTTTTAGGCGGGGCATGAAAAAATTGGAGCGGAGAATTATATTTTTTCTGATTTGCAGAGTAAGTAGATTAAAAGTAGGATATTAAATAGAGCGGAAATGGAACAGAAAACGGCACAGAATTCCCATGGTGTGGGGATTTTAAATTAATATTATTTTATGGTTTTGTTTAAATACAAGCGCGCGGGTCCGACGAACAAAAATTTTTATTGGTATGGCCTAAATTTCACAATATGTTTTAATTAGATCAAGCTATTTTCTTTATTTTATTTTCATCATGTTACAGATCCCATGGAAATATAGGATCCTTGGCTAATCAAGTGTCATCTGCAGTGTTACAAAAGAATATTGGATATCAATAAGGTATATAGGGACAAAACTGAATTTAAAAAATGGAATAAGATGTAAAAAGAAAGTATTTTAATTCCTCATATAACCCCATGGTCTTGGCCTTAGAGTGTGGCCTACATTTAGAAACTAAAATATTTGATCTTTATCCTTATATACCAGTTCGTTTAATTAAGACAATTCATTAATCCAGATAATTTCCTTAAGAGCAAAAGTGCCCAGATTAATGAGACCAGCTTAATTTGCATTTAATTTAAAAAATTCATGACATTATATAAAAAAGGTATCTCAGAAGTGTCTTATTTTCATATAGACATAGTCATACTATGTTTGCAGTGTAAGAAAGAAGTAAAACATGTATTTTAATTCTTATTGTATTAAAATATTTTGTTCTGTTCAGAAAAAGAACTACCAGAAGGAGACGGTAAAGAGGAACAGACATATCACACCATAAGACGTGCTTCAAAATCTGAATATACAGAATGATCTTTGCTAACTGCAGATCACCTTGTGAAAGAACACCTTTGTTGTATTGACATAAAAACAACGGAATTGTCAGGATCCATGAACATGACGCACCTGGCTGCATACGATGGCAATTAAAAATACATACATGTTTACACTGATCTTTGTTAGCCAATAAGACAAAAAGCAAAATAGCAAGTTTATCCTATTACCGTACATGTACTGAATGTATTCACTTTATTTTGTTGAACTACATCATGAGTTTAAAAATTGTACAGTATCATATACAGTTTATGGTGGGAATCCTCCAACTTTTATGAATCTGTTTGCAAAATCTATATTTTAAGGTTACAAAATATTACCTCTAATTCATTGTATGCTTTTTTTTGTAAATTATTACACTATTTTTGTATGTATGTAATGATAAACAAATCACCCTATTTTCCCACACTTTTTACCATGTGATGCTTTAGTGTATTAATATCTGACAACTGATGACCAGGCAGTCTTCATTTAACAGTGTAATACAATACACATTTTTATCTGAATATTTTTAAAACAAGGATAACATGCTGTGGATTGTTTCTGCGTTCAAAACTTCTTAATCACTTGGTTTTCTTATTTATGTTGTACATGTATTTGGAATAAAAATGGAATTGTTAAAAGTGAAATTAATCATTCTATTGTTGTCAAAGGAAGATAATAAAACCAGTTTATTTATGAACAGAATTGGTCAAAACATATTGTCATTGATAATTCATCCAAGAATCATATGTATAATAAATCTACAAAGTCAATTTGAACGATATCAAGGAAAGTTCTTATCTTTTTTAATATAAGTGCAAAAAGGTCAAGCAGGGCAGCATGTGTCCAAGTGTACATGTATGAATTGTTTTCTGTGATATAGAATGTAATTTAGAAGAATATTACTTGGAATTTTACTCATTTTCTTTGAAATATTTTGATTAATTCTATCTATCAAAGTCAATTTGAACGATATAAGGAAAAATTCTTATCTTTTTTAATATAAGTGCAAAAAGGTCAACCAGGGCAACATGTGTCTAGGTGTACATATGTATAAATTGATTTTGTGATACGAAATGTAATTTAGAAGAATATTACAAAGAATTTACTCATTTTCTGTGAAATATTTTGATAAATTCTTGATAATACCTCTTAGTCACCATATTCTTCAAAAGTGCATCCTTCTAAAGGAAGGGGGTAGGGTAGGGTGTAAGATAATAAAATTGTTCCAGGTTGAATTTAAACCCCATTATGTAGTATGATTTTTTTCTAAAATTTAAGACACTTATAGACTAACTATAATATGCAATAAAAAAAGAAATTTGATGGGTAATTTTTTCACAGTGGAAGCAGAAGTGTGAGACTTTGTGCAATGAATAGGCAATATTTTAACCTAATTTGACCATGCATCTTGGTAAATGTAATTCTGTTTTTCGCTTACAATGCATGATAAATTTAAGATTGATGTCAAATATTAATTCATACAGACAGATGTTTGAATTCATATAAGACAAATGATAATTGATATAGCAATAAAAAATTTACAGCCCTTTTCATATCATATTCTTATATTATTTTACCCTGCTATTTCAGCTCTTCGGTGGTTGATGAAGGCTATATTAAAATTGTCAAATTTCTCTAAAACTAGCGCGATGACCTGCCTTGAATTTTTGATATGATTTAGAACAAGGACTCAACACAAACATATAAAAAATTCAGAAAAATTCAATGGGTAGTTTTTTTGTTGACAAGCTATCAATCTCTACCTTAATACGTAACTTTAACATGGATCTGATACATTTAATCCATTCTGACAAGCTGTCAACGTCTTCTTTTTCATGTAAGATATGGGGCCATGAAAATATCGATATTACTGATCGTGTTCATTTAAAGTTCTTAAAATCTATATTTAATTTAAAAAGTTCTACACCAAATTACTTGATTTGTGGAGAAACATGAAGATTCCCCTTGTACTTCTATATTTTTTACAAATATGATTACATACTGTTTATTAATAAATAGTTATAATGGGGAAGTATCCCTCTTTCAAAATATCAGGATTTCAGGTGTTTGGGCAGGCCGCTTTTAGATATAAAGTGAAAATGCATTATTTATATATATTTAAAAAATCTTTCAGCTTCCTTTTATTTTATTTTATTCTTCAATCATTTATCTATCAACATTTATAGAGTTATACTGATATGACCGTTTACCATTGACCGTTAACGTCCATGGTTCTCTTGTTATATATATAGAATATAAAATAATGACAATATTTATTATTTGGTGTGTTTTGTTTCTTCTCAAATTTGGACAAGCCATCAAAAGAGCCTATAATAAACATTTTTAATTGTAGACTATGGAATCCTGAACAACAAAGGGAATAGGATGACACAAATTTCAAGAATTCCATCGTCTGCGCCCAAGGACATAAACACATTAATCGGTAAATTAAAACATTTTTTTCAATTCATTTAAATATTACCCACAGAGGAGTCTTTGAAAATGGTAAGCTAGGATTATCAAATAATATTTAGCCTTTTCTAATGTTATCTATTTTTATTCTTTATATTAAGATCTAAATCATTCTGTGATGTATTACATTGCTTATCCTGGGCCTCTTTCAAAAATTCTCACATTGGTTGTTTGCATTCAAAAAGATTCCAGTAGGTCTCTATTGACCTTCAGCTAATTTAGGGGGATGCAGGTATAACTTGATTTTTATACAATAATACATTGCTGTTTTTTTCTGTTTGTTTGTGGTATCCTTTATCTCAAGCCTGCTAGATATATTGTATCGACTTAAAAATGGAAATTACCATTTTTAAAATCGACAAAACACCGTCGATACATCTAAATGTCGAGTTGAAGGCCACAGCAAGTACCTTCTTCTTTCCACGCATAAGGTTTTGTACAAATTCTGCTTCATATGAATACAAAAATAGGTCTGTTAATAAGGGGCCGCAATTGGTACCCATGGGAACTCCAATAGATTGTTGGAAGACCTGGTCTCCAAAAACAGTATACATATCCTCAATCATAAACTCAAGCATCTTTTTTATGTCAACTTCAGAGTACTTGTGTGTACATTCAGAATGTTTTTAACAAAATGATTTTTCATATGACCAAGGTTATTAAAGAATGATTGCATTTAGTGTACAAAAAAAGGCCCCGGGTAATCTGGGCAAAAAAAAGTATAAAAAGTAGCCTAATGAGATTAATTTAACAATTCTTCTACGTCTAAATCGCACAGAAATTAGAAGTAAGTAAAAATAAAGAACGAGGCTGTATTTTGTAAGAGGGGTTAATGTAAATCAGGAATCTCTATTGATGTTCATTTTTTTTTATTTTAAAGTTGGAATTCATGGTGAGTGCATTGTTGCCCAAATTTCTCAAAAGGTTAGAAGGTGTAGAACTGTTGGAAATTCAACATATTTAAGGGAGACTTTTGGGCAAGCCTGCGCTTTGGGTAAACTTTTTGAAAAAAGGTGCAAAACGCCGACCGTTTTTTCCACTATTTACGGGTATTTACATGTCATTGACCTCATTGTGACCTGTTTAGTATTCCACTCAAGTAACATTCTGAATACAAAAAAAATCAATGAATTCGTGGCTGTAGCTCCGATCAACAATCCGTCGAAAAGTGTCCAAGTTACACAGTTATACTTAGTATGTAGATTTTCAATTAATCAACATCGAATGATTTTTGTCGGTCAAGTATTTTTAATGACATATTAAATTGGACGAAATGAATTGTTATTTCTTTTAGCCATTGGAGGCTCAAAGAGTTTCAAAGTGTTTTTGTCTGTAAAAATATAGGCACAAAGGATAGGAAACCAAATATTATTTAACACTGGAATATGCTTACCTGTACCCCCCCCCCCCCCAAAAAAAAAAACATAAAAAAAATTAACACATGCAAAAAATAAAATTGTTTTAGTAATAAAACATCACCACAAGCAGCATCGCAAAAATAAACAAATTATTCCGTACACCATTATATGTTCTAAGTATCTACTGTATTTTTATAAGAGAGAAAGAGAGAGAGAAAGAGAAAGAGAGAGTTTGATATTTAAAAAAGTGAAGAAAAGTAATAAAATCACATTAGTTAAAATTGATAAAAAAAACTGTCTCGACTACTCAAAGTATAAAATAAAATATGAATAATATGCTCAACAATGCTCTTTTTTACCCCAACCCCTCCTTATGACAAAGTCTATTTCTTTTGCCCGGTTATAAAAAGAAGACTTATTTTAAACATTTTTTTCCTAATGTGAATCAGTATGCATCCATTTAAAAATTAAAAAGAAAACAGCAAAAAAGTTTAGCGCTCAAGATCCGTACATACGGTTCAGTTTTTGCCATATTTGGACAGATTTTTATGAAACTTGCTAAATTCATTAAATATTCATTATAGAAAATGGAAATATACTGGCAAGAAAAAAATAATTTTGATTGCAGGTGCAATAACAGTATTTCACTAGAGTCCACGTCAAATCAAACGGGTAAAATTGGCTACAATTCTAAGTAAAAATACATTAATTTCTTAGCTATTCAGAAATTACTGTGTTATCCTCATTGTTCGTGGCTTTCGTGGGTAACCCTGACCCACGAATTTACATCCCCACGAACGTATATACAAACATTTGTATTTATTATTTGTTAAAAGTTACGATAACACAGACTATTTTATATCATAAAATAACCTTTACATTTATGGCCGTGTGATCACGCATAAAAAATAATACCTGTATGTGTTTATCGACACAAAATTAAAAAAAATAAAAAAAATATTGAGTTTCAAAGACATCGATAATTCTATGCAATAAGAAATAAAACGATAAATACAGCTGTTTAATTTAAGCAGTGTTTACATTATATATAGCCAAACACGCTCAAATGCCCCTTTGATGAGGTCAATTTTCAGTGCAATTTTGGTGTGGGTGCTAATTAGCCAATTAGCTTAAATTGGTTTTGGGTGTATGCGTTTTAAG